ATGAACTGATCGTCGATTACAGAAATTGCTGAACCGTCGAGAGGAAAGTGGAGCCGGCCACTTCTATAGGAGAGGAGCTTTGAAAGTCTGCAGTGCAAAGTCCTCCATGTGAGTGCGTTTCGTTTTCTTTTGCTACGGTTACTAGTGAAATTTAAACACAGACTTTCGATAGGCGTTGTGCGACCATAAGGAGAATAAAACTAAGTCAGGCAAGTGGCGATCCACCCTTGTTGAACATAAACGATTCTGAGGAAAGATCTATGACAAGCACTTGGGAAAAGAGCTAAATTTCATTTAAAAAGTTTTTTACCATCTTACTTACAAAGCTTAAAGACTGAATAGCCACGTAGCGCGTTCGCAAACTTTGGTTGAAGTGTATTTGGGACAAACTATCATCTACTGTTTGTCGTTTTGGTGGCACAGTGTTATCCATTGGTTCAAGGTCCCTTAGAGCCTTACCGGGGCTTTCTAGAGTAACTTTATCTGAAAGGATCGATGTTACTAAAACTTTTTTTTTTCAGTAATGTTTCCGTGACACTCACTTCTTCGAAGACCTGACAACTTTTGCATCTCCAATTTATGTCAGAATAAAACAAAATTTTGACATCAAAGATAAGTAAAACTCTTCCAATAAGATCATAGTTTGTCATCCATTGGGATTACTGAGTTCGAAGAGCTCCTACTTAAACTGGTGCTCCAACTCTTTCTCCGTGTTTTCATCGGCCATTTTAAATCGTTAAGAGGATAACCGCTGTTCTTTCGGTTCCAGACTCAGGTTCCCTGTTCCTCGTTCGTTGAGCTTGATTTAATTTCTTGGTTTTAGTAGAATCCAATCTGAGGTGATTTAAGGTCTCTTTAATAGCATTATTTTTTTCTCTTAGAAAATTTTTTTCACTTAACAATTGGTTCATGCTTTAGCGTGCACTATCGAGTTATGGAGCTTGTGGGAAGTTTGGAGAGCACGAAAGAAGCGTAAGAGTTACCCGAGGGAATAGCGGAGGGCAACTCAAGCTTTTTGAGTGCTCTCTAAACTTTCCACGCCCTCCATAACTCGATAGTGCACAGCTAAAAGCATGAACTAATTGTTTTATAACATAGCCGGTGAAATTGTGCATCAAATACGACGCGAAAAACGGACAACAAAATCAAAATAGATTGCTCGCGGTAAGCGAAATATTAAGCAAAACAGGAATTGGTTTTATATTTCAAATTTTCTGTTGAAAGCTCCGCCGAGTTTTATTTTACCGCAGTTTAAATACAAAGTTCTTTACCTTTGAAGGCTGAAACAGACGAGTTTGTCATTTGAATAAAGGCTGATAGTTCAAAGAAACTGTTTGGGGCTGCGTCGATGGCGGTAACGAAATAACTTGGATATTTCAACAAAGTGCACTGTCGGGATTTTGAGCACGCTTACGTATACTGAATTTTATTGCGCAGCTCTGCTAGCTATGTTATAATGGTCTTTAGAGTGCAAAAATTCCTCAGTATTGCAATCATGAAATTCAACTGAACTTCGATTTCCACTTTTTCCACTATAATTTTTTGACTTGTGAAAAGAACAGTAGCCATCGACCTTAACAGGAAAATAAGATAATATGACTCAAAAAAGAAATAATAAGTTTCCTGTACTTCTCTTTTCAACTTTAACGCTTCATATTAACTTTCAATAAACTACACGTCACTTGTTATCTCAATATATCCTACATCTATGAGCTGATTTTCACTAAGTTCACAGCAAATATGTCTCCAAGATGAACAATGACTATTTGTTTGCTTATCGCAAAATTCAAAGTTGTCCCACGGCTCTTTTAGCCTTAACAGAGGACTGGAGAGCTGAACTTGACAAG